TGCCATGGCAAGTAAAGGCCTACTGCTGCCATCCGCTGGCCTCGGCCGACAGTCACGTGACCCCCACGTGACCAGACGGTATATAAGGAAGTGCCGAACACCGGCTCGAGGAGTGTGGTCTCGCCCAACGTGCAGACAACACGTATCGCGCGTGTAGCGGAAATGGTTGCGATTGCCTCATACGCACTTAATGAACGCATAGAGACACGTTCCGTGTAGACGAGGATCACGTCGCTCGTCCCGGAAGGACGTCTAGAGCGCGTACCTGTAATTTCGGGCAGTGGGTGTCACCGCGAGTGCGTATTCCTCGGAGGTGACATACCGTTCGTGGGCATTACGTGTACAACCGGATAGGGATACCCGACGACCGTAGAGGGCTGCGGACCTGGCTGCGGACGGCTGAGGGCTGCGACCCGCCGTAGAACCCGAGGCACCCCTAGGAGGCGGCGGACGGTAAGCGCGGCGTAGCCGACTTCCTCATTATCCGTGACGTCATTGCCGTCAGTGCGCGACCGCGAGTGTTAGTGCCTCGATAACCGCTTTCTCCTCTCGACGTCTAAGACCGCGTATTGTTCTGGCCGCATCGTTAAATTTCGCAATCAACACCTAGTGATCCGGGAGATAACCGGGCGGCGGCCCTTTGATCTTGCGCAGCGGCGCCTTTGTTCCCGCGACGACGTAACCGATCTTCCTCGGAACTAGCGAGTAACGGCAAGCGATGTAATCACGCGTGACGACGCGACATTGTTTATGTTAATTTACTCAGATTTGTGTTTTGCAAACGTGATAGTTAATAATTAATAAAGTTATTTTCTATATTCCTAACTTAATCGGCGATCGTATTAATTTATCTTCCCCGAAAGTATATGCTAAGCGTATCAGTCGGACGTTAATGGGTGCGTAACAATTATTAAATAAACAATTGCCTAAATCTACCATCGACTGGAGTTTGAATTTTATTAGTTTATGTATTTTTTACAACGCGGGCGCCCCTAAATGTCAGACGCACCAGTCATATCCAGTCAGTTTTCGAGTTTTTACCAGTCAACGCCATCTTTTGTTAGTTGAATAAATAATTGCCTTTGTCCACCACTGACTGGATCCCCGCGAGGACCATTCACTGGTGATTACTATAGTGCGTGCGTCAGTACACCATCGACTGGTGACTGACATCTATAATGCGTACGATTAAACACCATCGACTGGTGTCACTACTCCTAACGAGCACCGCTCACAGGAGACATCTATACTACGTACATTCGTATACCAAAGACCAGGTGACGGACATATAGTACGTGCGACCGTACGCCAACGACTGGTGATGGTCTCTCCTCTTCGTGAACGCGCATCACTGGGGATTTCTATATATAGGATACGCGTCCGCGTTCCACTAAAGTGGGAATCGTTCTACCGATCGATACATCTCACTGGCATAAGGCAATTAAAGTGCCCGAGAGCACATCTGACTGGCTCGAACAATACCACAGTACCTCTGCTCACTAGTGGTAAACTCTAATAGGCTTCACTTACGCACACCACCGACTGGTAACGCTATACACAGCACCCTAGAACGCCATCGACTGGCGATTAAGTTCGGACACACACGGTACACCGGATGTCCCAATTACGTTACGGTCCAGCGATACGGACCTGATAATCTTCGGATACCGACAAGGTACGGAGTGACCCACACCGAGCATTCCACTGGAGTGTCGCTGCTCCCATCAACAGCGACTGGCGACCGAGACAGCCGCGCGAAGGACGAGAGGGTCAGGGCCAGAAGCCAGCAGCCGACGAGGGTCAGGACTGCCAGAGGACACCAACGACTGGTTAGAATCGGTTAGGAAGGCCGACAGACAATCGCCTTTTTTTTTTTTTTTTTTTACGAGGAGGAAATCCATCATGGATACCCTGACCCTCGGGGAAGGGCCAGGGTTATGCCGGACTTCTACCGGCTAAAACCTCCCCGGGTGGCACTGCGAAGGGACTGGAATCGGGGTGCCGGAGCCGCGTAACTGCTTATCGAGGCCCCGAGTCCAGGCTTTACGCCTTCTGTCCCTGAGGGCTGGATGGGGGAGGGGGGAGGCCAGCCCGAGGGCTCGCTTCAACTACCGCTCCCCTTTCCCAGCACTCACGCCTCGTCTCTGCGGTCAGGAAGGAGGAAGCTGGCCGGAGCCCGCTTCAACCACCGTTCCTGACCAGCGCCGCCAAAACATGTTGTGTGGCTGACTGACCCACTGTATCAGCCAGCCACCCTACGTTGGGAGGGCTGGTTGGGGCACCGGGAGTCCCCGCCCGGTGCCTCACCCTCCCACCCGGCGGTTACGGGGGGAAAAAGCTCCTCTAGCCGCCGGGCTCTTCCCACCTCCGCGGAGGAATGGGATGGGGGGTCCTAGCTACCCCTCTCCCGCATATCCGACTTACTCACGTCGGATTTGCGGTTTGGGGGGAGGGGTGTTTTGTTCGATGATGAATCACCATCGACACCTTCTCCCCCCCTTATTGTTATCCGACTCCCTTTTTGAGGGGAGTCGATGGTCTGCGGATGTGGGGCCTTGGCCTGAGCCGCGCCCTCCACCCGCCTCTATCTGCCGTAGCTGCCGTAGGAGGGGCAGCAGGGGGTGGCGGTGGTGGTGTCACCGCCATCGTCACCGCGGGGGGGGGGCGGTCAGCAGCGCTGCCGCCACCATCAGGGAGGTCAGCCGCTGTAGCACCACCACCGCCACCGCCCTGTTTCTATCTGTCACTTGCCTTCTTTGGACTTTCTTGGAGGCATTATGTCCCCCATGGGTCCTTCTTCCCGCTAGTACCGGAGGGGGAGCAGGAGGGGGAGGGGGAGGAGGTGGTGGACCCACCATCCTCCTCAGCTCGTCTTCCTCCGACGAGTCAGCGTCCCCCTCCCTGCTCCTGCTCCTCCCTCCCCTCCACTGTCTGTGTCTCTCTCTCTTCCTCTTCCTTCTACCTCGGCCTTCCATCCTTCTCCACGTTTCCTCAGCCTCCTCCTTCTTCTGCATAACCTCACAAATGGAGGAGAACATCCCACTTCCTCTCGCTCCCTAAAATGGCGTTGATGATCACCGGGAGCGAGAGGTCGTGGCCCAGAACTCGGACCATGACTCCGCGCTCAACGCCCCAGGCTGTACAGTCCTGGAGCGTATGTTGCGCGGAGTCATGGTCGTACCTACAATGGTGGCAGGATGTTGTGCGCTCCTTGCTTATTCGGCACAGGTACTCACCGAAGCATCCATGCCCGGTGAGCACCTGTGCCATTCTGAACGTCAGAGTCCCATGGGCCCTTCCCACCCAATCCAGTAGGAAGGGCCGGACGGCCTCGACCGTCCTCCTTCCGTACCTGGCATTGACCAGGAATCTTTGCCATCTCTGGAGGAGGACCAGTCGAGCCTGGTGCTTCGCATTCCGAAGAGCCCTGGCGAGCGGTTCTCCTGCCCCCCCTGTTCTTAGGAGCTCATGCCTTCTGTGGTGCGTACAAGGCCATGAACTCATGGGGGGCATGCTTGCCAGGATTGTCACCGCCACGCAGGATACGGTGCGATAGCACCTCGCGACCCTGACCGCCAGTGTCCTTTGCACTCTGCGCAGTTGAGCCTGCATAGGACGACTGGCGGCCAGGTCCTCAGTCCATACCGGGGCTCCATAGAGTGCCACTGAATTAAGTACTCCTGCGTGGAGGCGACGAGCCTTCCCGTCTGGTCCCCCGACATTCGGCATTAGCCTACCCAACCGGGCAGAGACTACCCTCAGTCGGGGGACCAGCCTGTTAAAATGTTCTCGGAAGCACCAGGTGCCGTCCAGTGTGAGGCCCAGATATCGCATCTGGGCCTCCAATGGGACCCTGACTGTTCGCACCCGCACCTGGGCCTGGGGTGGCTTTCCTCCTTTGGCGTGGAAAAATATCGCCTCTCTTTTTCTCTCAGCCACCACCAAACCCAGGTTGCGGATGGCGTGCACAACTCCTGCCACCGCCATGTTTGCCGTATGAACGGCATCCCCCCAGTCATTCCCCCCGGCTAAGATGAGTATATCATCAACGTAACATATGAAGCTACAGCCGGGGGGGAGGGTTGTTCGGAGGACTGAGTCGTAACCGAGGTTCCACAATAGAGGGCCCAGTACTGAGCCTTGTGGAACGCCGCAACTCATCCTCCTCTCGCGTATCTCGCAGTCGGCGCCCTTCCAGGTGAGTCGCCGACCCCGGAAGTAGTCTTCGATGACGGTCGTGAGGTAGGGTGGGAAGCGGAAGTAATCCCGCATCGTCTGCACCACCTTACCCCAGGGCAGGGTGTTGAAAGCGTTGGCAATATCTAAAGATACCGCCACCGCCACCCTGCCTCCATCACGATGGCCTCCGAGAGGGATCTTAGATGCAGTATCGCATCTACTGTCGATCTCCCCTCTCGGAAGCCATATTGGCCGTCACCGGGGTCGGGACCTTCCTGGGACATATGCCTCTGGAGGCGGGCAGGTATGACTCTCTCAAAGAGTTTGCCCGCCTCATTCAGGAGGCATATGAGCCTGTACGCGGAGGGGGAGTCCTCCGGTTTGCCCTCTTTTCGGAGGAGGACCACGTTGGCCCTCCCCCAGACTGGGGGGAACCTTCCTTCCCTGAAGGCACGCGTGAATAGACCAGCGAACTTTTTGTTCATGAACCCTGAGGCCAGGTTGAGGACCCGGCTGGGGATACCATCCAGTCCTGGAGCTTTCCTGCTTTTGACCTTTTTGGTAGCCTCGGCCACCTCCTTCTCCGAAACCCCCGGTACCTCCCCCTGTTCGGGGAGTGGTAACATGTATGGGTTGATGGGGTTTCCCCTCCCAACCGGGAAAAGGGTCCCCACCACCCGTTCTAGGAACGGGGTCCAGCGTCACCGTCAAAGGGGGCGTCCATGGTTTCGGTTTCTGCATAACCATTTTGTATGGACGCCCCCACGGATCCACGTCCAGTGAGAGGAGGAAGTTGTCCCACCCTCTTCCTCTGGCCACCCCTATGGCATCCCTGAGTTCTGCAGCTGCACTGCAGAACTCCTTCCGGGCGGCCAGAACGGCCTCAGGGTCCAGATTCGGCCTATTTTGCGTCCTTCTGAAGGCCCTCCTGAGGTGGACAGACCTACGCCTAAGCGTGGCGATCTGGTCTGTCCACCACCAGGCGGACCGTTTTGGGCAGGACCTAACTCTGGGCATGGAGGCATCACACGCCTGTGTATGTCCATTGCCTCCATGACCTCAGAGTCCAGGTCCTGCTCCTCTCTTTGTCGTGGCCAGGTGGAGCTTTCTAAGGAGATCTCAAGGATCTCCTTGTTGAGTTGGGCTAGGGACCACCTACCGGGTCGGGGTTCTTTACTCTGGTTGGGCCGCAAGCCATCGGGGGTGACGGACAGCTCCATCTCTATCAATTGATGGTCTGACAGAGTCTCAAGCTCGTCCGCCACCCTCCAGGTCCGCACTCTTCTCAGGGCCGCAGGGGTTGCCCATGACAGATCAATAATTGACTCCCCCTGCGACCCCACAAACGTGGATTTTGTCCCCTCGTTTAGGACGTGCAGACCCAAGCCCGCGGCCCAGTCTAATGTTACCTCCCCCCGCCTGTCACCGCGCCGGGAGCCCCATAGCTCAGATTTCGCGTTGAAATCTCCGGCGACGATGACAGGGCCTGGGAGATGCCTTTGGATGGCGTCTCCGATCTCCTGGAGCCTGGACCCATAACCAATCAGGTCCAGGTTCTTATCTGGGGGAGGTATACCCCGACCATAGTGACTACTTCCCCGCAACCAATAAAGGTTGCGGGAGTTTTCACTTGCCCTCCATATGATAGCGACAGAGCCCATATCGTCCCCGAACCATCGAGTGATTCTTTGGGACATAATAGGGCTCTGCCGCTATCCCTAGTCCTGCACCGCGCTCCGCCATTGTATGCTCGAAGAGAGGTAGAGCTTGGCGGGCGCGGTGCAGGTTACCTTGAAGAAGTCGTGTGTCCATTACTGAAAGATTGAACTGATGACGATCTTCCCGCCTGGTTGGTTTCCTTCGTCACTATCCGCATTTTCCTTTGGGTGCGGACGCTTTTCTCCTCTCTTTTCGTCCACCTCCATGTCCTGGCTCTCTGTTTGCCTGGGACGTGGGGGGATTCGCTCTCTCTGTGGAAGTGGGGGTGGGAGCAGAGCTCCTGCGTTTCACTCTCTTTTTCCATCTCCACTTCCTTCTCTTCTTCCTTATTCTCAGGAGGGAAGGGAGGGCCTTGCGGTTTCGATGCGGATACTGCAGGCCCTTCCATCTCCTCTTTCCTGGGCTTCCTTTTTCGAGGGGGTGGGTGACAGGCAAGTCCTCCCATTCTTTGGTCCGCCTTCACTCCCCTCGGCACATATCTGGCACCTGGCTTTATCTTCGCAATCGCGAGCCAGGTGTCCAGGTTCGCCACACTTGTAACAGTTCTGCCGCCTGTCGATGTTGTTCGTGCAGTTTATTTGTACGTGCCCCTTTTCCAGGCATCTGAAACACTGCAGCGGCCTTGCTTGCAGTAATTCCACCCTGACCTGTGTCCACCCCATTTTTGTTTCCCCTTTCCGCGACTTTCCTGGCCGCCAGTAGGGGACACTGGACCCAAAGTGACCTATAACTATTTTGGGCCACTCTTATTTTACCTGTTTTTACATCAGAGGCCTCACATCCTCCCAGTCTCGCCACTGTCAGCAGTGTCAGCAGATTCCTTTTCAGACGTGGAGATTTCAAGGCCTCTGATGCGGATTTCACCCATTTTTTGTGGTCTACCCACTTTAGCTCTATCCAAGAGCACCTCCTTAAGTTTATTGGCTAGGAGGTCCGCCTGTTTCCCCCTCTTCTCTCCTGGGATTTCTAGGACTAATGCCCCTGTTGCTCCTACTCTGGTCTTTATTTTGTCGATTCCTATCCCATTTAGGTCAATTTTCTGCTTGGCCTCAGCCAGTAACTCTGTATATTGGCCCTTGTCAGCTGTTATCGTTACTGCCGCCGTGTTAGAAACCTTCCTCTTTACTCTTCTCTCTTCCTTCTTTACCACTTTCTCTTCCTTTTCCGTCACGATATTTTCCTTTCTTTTCTGTTCCATTTTTTGTCTTTTCTTTTCTCTCCTTCCCACAACCTCAGACCACAGCTCCCCAGTCTTCACTCCAGTTGGTTCCCTTTCCCCATTTTCGGGCATTGGAGGCTTTATCTTCTAGGACGACAAAGTTGGAGCTTGTCGGACATTCTTTTCCCCAGGGGTTTGAATATTCCTCTGGTTTTCCCCTGTCTTTCCTATTCCTTATCCTTTGTTTCCCTTCTTATTTTTGGGCTTTCTTTCGACCCCTGGCTCTTCTTTTCCCCATCCTTCTCCTTTGGTGAGATCCATTCACACAGGACCCTGAGCACCACCTTGGTGACTGTCTTTTAGGCCTTCTTGGCCTTCTTCCTCTTTACTCCTGGGTTCTGTGGTTCTTTCCACCATCACTTTCGTTTTAAGTGGGACATTCTCCTTGGGGCTTCCTCCCTCAGCTTTGACGACCCTGGCTTCCTTTCTAGTTCTTTTCACTGGGTGTGCCCTTTCCTTCGGGATTAAACCTTTTCGATGACTCCGATTGGCATCTCTGTCTCTTCCTCCATGTCAGCTATTGGAGGGGTTATTCTCCCTCCCTCGCTAATCATTTCCTCCTCCTTATCCTCTACGCAGGTCGGAGGCGAGAGGGTATCTGCAATTGGCTGCAGTGCCCTCTTTAAATTCCGACCTGCGTTTCCTTCTTGTTGGGGAGGCGAGGAGGACACCGCTGCTGCTGGCGGCGGTGCCTCCTTTATACTCCAATGTGTCTTTTAATTCCTCCATTTCCTTTTTTATGTCATTCAATGACATTTTCAGGTTTGCGTTTTCTACCCTCAACTCTTCTATTATGTCGAGGTTTTCTCCGGACTTGTCGCCAGACATTTGTTTAGTCAGGACATTCGTTCCTGCAGTTGTAGCAGCCGCGGCATCCCGGAGAACCTTTACATAGGTTCCCTTGAGGTTTTTAGATTTCACCGAGAAACCTAGAATTTTCATCGCTGCCTCCTGGATCGAGGCTGATACGTCTCTGAAGGGGACGTTCTCCACATGCTCAGTGATCCTGTTTATCTCGGCCTTGTACTTTCGGTTCTGCGAGCCGTCACTGAATTGCTCCATCGGATTTTCCAGGTTTCTCAGCATCTTTTCCTCCTCATTTTGTCTCCTGATTTCTTCCCGTCTGGCAAGGAAGGCCTTCTTTTTTCGGTATTCGCCCGTTGTTTCTCTTCTGTCTCTTCCTCTCAGGGCTTTTTCTTTGAGACGCTCTTCATCCGTCTCTCCATCCGTATTTTGGAGGATGTCCCACCTTCCCTCGGGGCTTTACGGTCTTTACTTCGTCGCCCACCCAGCTGACAGAGGTGGAGTCAGACTCTGACTCTACTTTCAGGACAAGGGATCTGGACCTTTCTCTCTCTGTCGTCCTTCCTGTTCCCGTCGGTTTGCGGGACTCAGCGCTTCTAAGTCCTCCCCTCCTAGCCACTTGGTTACCTCCAAGTTGGCTCTTTGAAGCCGCAGCTCTCGTTACTCTCTGTTGAGAGCAACCAGGTGCTGCCTCTTCACTCGTGTCCTTCTTCTTTGCCAGGGTCGTCGCCATTTGGTCCATATCCGTAGGGTCGTTTTTTGAGGAGGATGAATAATAGTCTGTCATTGTGGTTTGTAACCCACCACTCTGCACGGCTCCGGTGCCCGGGCATGCCCGCATCCCCCCGGAAAGGGGAGCCTCCGAGTTCCCCCAGAGGAGCACCATATGGCACGGGCCGACGGAATATACCATCGTCGGCACAGGCCTCCCGCCCCCTACACGCGCCGACCACCATTTCTGGTGGTCAAACCGCTTTCGGGGGTCCCACACATCCGACAATGTGGACACCGTGCAAAGCGCCGCCACGCGGGGGGCCCCATGGAAGGAGGTAGTTCACCGGTGTCGCACCCCACCGGGAACGCCTCCCCCATGGCAGCCAGCGTGCTCGCGCCGCCCGAGGGTCCGCTTTAGAGTGATGCGATCGCATTCCCTCGGGCACAGCACACAGGGGCTCCGGCCCCGCCTCGGAATATGTCCGAGCGGCCTGGAGCACCCCTCTACCCCCCAGGTACCGTGAGGGGTTCCAAAGCCTCACGGTGTGCAGACCCGGATGTGGGATCCTCCATTCGCCCAGCCTTGGCTGGGACGAATGAGGGAGAGAGGTCCTCCCCTCTTCGGCTGCCGGAGCAATGCCTCGGAGGGTGAGATCTCTCAGGACGCGGTAGAGTATCGACCCCGACCTCGGAAACGTCGGAGCGGCTCGGAGTACTCCTCCGCATCTCAGGCACCATGGGGTGAGGATCCTCATGGGGTGGAGCCCTGGATGCGGCTACGTCCCTCCACCCCGATCTAACCATAACGGTCCGATCGAGGTGGGAGGAAAGGGTTCTCTCTCTTCGGCTGCCGGAACACCGGCGTGCAATGCCTCGGAGAGAAAGGTCCCCTTCCTAGAGCAAATGCAGAGGAGGCCATCCCTGTCGGCTGCCGGAACACCGGCGTGCAATGCCTTCAGGGATGGTGATCTCCTCCCACCCGCTCTGTGACCGTGCTGATCAAGGACCAGGCTGGTCACTCAGCCCAGTCGGGTGCTCTTGGTCCAGTCCCTCCGTACAGACCACTCCGGCATGGTAGAACCTGCCAAGGGCCGAAACCCCTGCCGGCACAGCTCTGTACATCATTGGGACCTTCAAGCCTCCCCATCACGTCAAGGTGGCACCCACGGGGAGTAAAGGTATGGTGGGGACCCGAAGGTCCTCCAATACCCCCCTCCGTCAGTAAGGCTAGGCAGGTACGGGGGTACCTGCCTAGCCGACCCCTGAAGAGGTTCGGCCTTCCCTCTCCGGGAGGTGTTCCAATGATGATATTACAGTCACCATGGTTCACCTCCCGGTTTGGGGCTATCCCTAACTAAATGCAGTGGGAGGAGTTCCCCTGAGAGGGATCGGCCCTCCTCCCACCGCTACATTTTAGGACCGTGGCCTTTGACCGCGGTGAGTGTCCCGGCAGGTGGCTACACTCGCCTCGACTGCCGGGCACATCCCACCGCGACAGGCCACACTAGTCCAATGCCCGGAGCGTCACGGAAGAGAGCCTTTTTGGCTCTGTCTGCACGTGCACGTCTCCGGGTTCGTGGTGTTCCGATCAGTCGGATGACCGTTTACTGCTCATCCGCCCAATCGTCCCACCCCACCTCCTGTATGAAGAAGCACGTAGCTACTATCTCCTCCGCTTCATCCTCTTGCGTCTCCATCCGTTGGGACGCAGTTTCCGGGCAAGGAGGAGCAGCAGGTGCTACCTCCCTACTCGGCCCTACCTTGAGTGGTACTGGTGGTTGTGCCTTATTTAGAGGTAGTGGAGGAGGAGGAATTTCCCTTTCTCCCTCTCCTACTTCCTTTGTTTGTCCTTTTCCGGGCTTCTCGCAGGGAGGGGGAGGCCCCTCACTTTGCACGTGTAAAGCCTCCTCCTCCCTACGAGAAGCGCGAGAGCCCGGCTTTCGGCGTTGCCGTCGATGTCGCCGCGGTTTCCTGCCCACGGCGGCCGTAGGGACCGCCGTATAAGCCCTGCCTCCCATACGGTGGGCAGGGTTTCTCCCTATTGCATCGCACAGGGTGCATCGCGGTTCTTCGGTGCAACCCCGTGCGATGTGTCCAGCCCCTCCACACCTGAAACAGCGGCCACCCCTGGGGTGTTCTGCGCGACAGTCGACTGCCATGTGGTCAAAGTCCAGGCACCTATAACACTGGGTGGGGCGCTCTCCTAGCAGGCGGAGACTGCGGCCCTTGTCTACCCGATTT